GAACACTTCTAGGGGCAAATTTTCTTAATTCAGCAAATATTATTCTGGATGTTTCCAATGATTCATGGTTCTAGAGTGATGAACCTGAAATGAGCTACACGTTTGAATCGGAAGATATTGAACCTGTTTACCTTCAAGAAACTGCAGTCAATTCTGTCGACATTAGTTGTTCAGTCAATATTAGAGAGGATGAAGGCTTAAACCTCTCGCTAAGCGGAAATCATACATTCAACAAGATGCTTGGGGCAAACCAAGATCTTTTCAATATCAGTGTAGCACCGACTCCTTTTCAGAACATGTTATCACCTTGACAGATGACATCTTGATTGCCGTTCCTCCTTATCGCCTGTTTAAGACTAAAAAGATCCAGTTAAAGCAAGAATTGGAAAATGTGAATCTGCTTACGCTGTTTCTATAGTTCTGGTTCTCAATAAAGATGGTGGGACCGGGCTGACCGTTAACTACCGCCGGCTCAATGTTAAGACGACGCCATATAGGTATTCGTTGCCACGCATTGACGACATTCTCCATGCAGTAAAGTATACACTTTACATAAAAACACTAGATATTAAGTCTGGTTAACATCAGGTGTCAGTTAGACCCTGTGATCGAGATAAAACTGCATTTATCTGCCCGTTTGGAACGTTTCGCTACACAAGAATACCTTTTGGCCTGCGTAATGCGTCATCTACTTTCCACAAGCTAATAGACAGATTCCGCTCAGGCCTTTAAGATATTTATCTCTTAGTATACCTTGATGATATAATAATTTTGTCTGATTCCTTTGAATCCCATATTGATCACCTACAAAGAGTGTTTGAGCGCTTGAGATTATTTAAACTTCGCCTAAAGTGCTGGATATGCAGATTTTCTTGTTCTTCGGTACAGTATTTAGGCCATGTGATAACACCGCAAGGTATTGCACCAAATCCTGAGAAGATTACTGCTATTTTGAAAATCCCAGTTTCACGAAACGTTAGAGAACTTCTGTCATTTCTACAAACCTGCTCATGGTATAGACGATTCAGTCAAAATTTTGCAAATATCTCTAAACCGTTAACAATGCTAACAAAGAAGAAAGCTACTTGGACCTTGAGCCATAGTCAAAATCAGGCATTTGAAAAGTTAAAGTCATTTTGACACACTACATTCTGAAGACTGACGCTTCTTCTTATGCTCCTGGAGCATGCCTGCTTCAGGGGGAGGATACAGACAAACGACCCATTAAATACGCAAGTCTGCTTCTTAAACCTGCTGAACAAAACTATATGACCACAGAAAGAGAGGCTTGAGCTGTTGTATGAGTAAATGTCGAGTATCAAAACAAATTTGGATAGACCCCAGGTGGGTAGGGCAAGATGTCCAGAATCCCACCCCTCAAAAACGGGCCGCCTCAAGGATTCTGGGGAAGGCAGAGACTCGATAAATAAAAAACTACTACATATAGCGATACTCAACACAGAACCCTGCAATTTGAAAGAGAACTACGAAATACGAAATGAGATATCATTATGGACTGTGCGAAGACCTTGTTCACCTAAGATCTGGAAACATACTATACAACGTAAGCAAAGAAAATACCTCGGAAGGAGTCGGATTCCTGGTGCATAAGAGATGAACACACCACATTATAGCATGGAGAATGTCCATGCAGCAAAGAAGACACTTTACATGACAACACTAGATCTTAAGTCTGCTAATCAGCAGGTGTCAGTTAGACCCTGTGATCGAGATAAGATTGCATTCATCTATCCGTTTGGAACGTTTCGCTACACCAGAATACCTTTCGGATTACGTAATGCACCATCTATCTTCCAGAGGCTAATTGACAGATTTCGCTCAGACCTTCAAAATATTAATCTGGAACCGCAACTGATCCAAAGCAGATAGAGGTTGAACCATCGTCTTCCCGCCACAGAACTTATTTTCGTTATCTCAGGCATATGCTCTAAAATTCACCATTTCAGGACACACTATCTATATACATAAGTTAAAAAGAAAATTTAACATTTTTTATCGTTCAGTGCTGCTTGAATGGACAAAGCAAGATTAACTGCCCGTTCCGACCTGGAAAAAAAATATATTTTTCAGCTCCAATAATTTTTCCCATTAACCAGGCAAAACTCGATTTTTTATCAAGCAAAATAAACGATCGAATTATGTATGCGGAAATTAAATGAGACATTTAAAAAAATATATCATATACAAGACAGGGCCAAATTCCAATATCTACTCAAGCTTAAACAAATCTTAACTTTTCTCAAAAACTGATTGTTCAATTTCAGTTCCAGACTTATCCAAATTGAATTGCGAAATCTATTTGCAAAAGCAAGATAATCACTTTACCTAAGAAAAAGGCTCGCTGAAATTTGAAGTAAAACTTTTGTCGGCGCCAATCCATTTCGTCTATCAATAATTAATAACGTTTGAGTTAGAACTGCTCAGACTTTATCATTAGAAACAAGGAATTTACGGTCCAACGAATTTCCTTTACCAAAAACCGAGTTTCATAGTATCTTCTCGTGTTGAAAGTTCGAGGCATGAACAGGAAAGTTTTTAGACCACGTTTTGCTAAACATATATAACAAGTATTTGAGGTAAGAAGAAACTTTTGGAATAATATTGGGAGCAGGTATTTTTTTTCATGAACAATGGAAATGTAAACCAAACCGTCTGGTATTTTTGAATTCAAGATATAATATATTATTATATTTGATTTTTTTTAATACCCGGCAAATGGATTTCGTGTATTAACTTTTCACTCTAATTACTCCTACATCACGTGACAAAAATCTGTTCTTAGCCCACTTTAACTCCGTGCTGAATAGCCGAACCCAGCTTCGGAAGGAGCAGTTACGCACTGAATTAGACAAGCTTCTTAAGGAAAATATTATAGATTATTCCACTCATGTGTTAGAAATCCCATAAGACAAGTGACGATTTTCAGAATTACAGCGAAAATTCTCTTTTCCATTTGTTTAACTAGAGAGAATTACAGCGATAATTCTCCCATGTTATTTTATACATGGTTGTCATGCTAATTTTTGATACAAATAAACGGTTCCTGATAGCAACCATTTATTTGTATTGATTGTTTAGATGTTCAAATCATTTAATACATATTTATTTCCATATTTTTTGCATTCTCATACGTGAAATAATCCTCTAAATACCACTTGAGCTTTAAAATGAACCAGATAATTTTGAAGTTCTCGTGGTATTATCCCCGAAAAGACAAAGTATCCATGGGCATTTCTTGTCTTCTCTTAGTACCTGAAAAGGATGGGCAAGTGAGGCTATGTGTCAACTATCAAAAACTCAACGCCGTCAGCGTTACTGATTCGTACCCCCTACCGCGAGTGGATAATCTACTACATGCTGCCAAACATACCGCTTTCATAACTACCATAGACTTACGATCTCGTTATCACCAGATTCGTGTCCGCGATAAGACTGCTTTCACTACTCCATTTGGAACGTTCCGCTATTTAAGTATGCCGTTCGGATTGAAAAACGCTCCGGCGACTTTCCAGCGTTTAATGGATGTTTTTCGCCGTGGACTCACAGACATTTCGATTTTGGCTTATCTGGATGATATGATCGTCTTATCCTTTGACTTTGAGACGCACCTTAGTGATTTTCAGAAAGTTTTCAACAGGCTTAAAAAGTTCAAGTTGCGTGCAAATCGGGCAAAATGTGTGTCTGTTGGTTCGAGTGTTCGATATCTGGGACATTTAATAGCACCCAATGGTATAACAGTTAATTTTGAGACATGAATAACATGATGGAAAAATTTCCATGACAAAGTTAAACAGAAGCAAAAACATCATATTATTCATTATTGTGGAGGAATTGAAATTAATTTATAGTACACGAAGACAAAAGTGAAAAAAAATTGGAAACGAACGTTGTGAAGTCACGGTTGAGCTGTTTGACATTTTTTGCTCCGACCGTTCCGGTCGTTCGTGTATTAATTTCTCACTCTAATCACTCCTAGATCACGTGACAAAAATCTGTTCTTACTCCACTCCAACTCCGTGCTGAATAGCCGAACCCAGCTTTCAGTATTATCTCAGTTGTCTAAAGGAAAGTTAAATTCAATCGAACGCAAAATGTGTCTTAACTGTTCCGTTAAAAATAAAATGTATTTGTATTACAAGAGCTACGGCAGTCAATCCCTTTCGAGTTAACTGGGTCAATACTTCAGTAAATGACTGCATTGGAACGGGAAGAAGTATGGAAAGTCAATAGAAAATAATTACTGAGGAGGACTAACCGAAAGATGGACGGGAAATTTGTCTTCTCGATTGGGATTTATTATTTAATTTAATTTTATTTTTGTTTAGGCTTTTTTTTCTTCAACTTGAGAGATTTATAACAATATTAAAAGATGTATGTTTTTCTGCCTAAATTGTAGGCCTCCGCTACCAATATTTTGTTATCATTCCATCATTCTCATCAAAAACCAAAGATTTGATATTCAAAATTATTGGCAAGGAAGTATATTGCAGCTCCTTAATCATGAAAGCAGCCTAATTAAAAGGATCTTATAAAAAAATAATTGATGTTTTCCAGCGATCTAGAAAATTTTCTTAATTAACTGCCAATTTCCAATATTAATTAGAAATTCATGAACATTTCAATAGAGTCGGTAGTATTGCCAAATGTAAAGTTTGATTTCGACTTTATTATGCTTTCATTCCCAAAAGACTCTGTCGCCGGTTTCAAATTACATTTTGCGCTCAATTTCATTTTTGGCTATAGATTTTCCCTGTTTGTTTGCGTTCGAATATTGGCGAGTTTTTCAATTTTCAACCAGTATCACGAAATACAAGAAATATGAGTATATTTATTATGTAGTGACGTTCTCTGTATTGTTTGTGTGAAATTGATTTCAAAAACAGACAATCATAGATTTGATATTATAATACTATAGGCATCAACAACTATTGATACACATTTGAAAATAACTTTTTCTAAAAACGATTTTTCTGTTCCAGGTATGTAACGAGCTAATCAATTGACTCAGGCAAGTAAATTTGTCCTTTTTTCTTTTTTGAATTGAATTATTTTGTTATCTCGCTTCAGCTGGTCACAAAAAAAAAGGGGAAAAAATCCATTACAACTTCCTAGAGTGTAATTTAAACGAATCCAATAACGATGGGACGTTCATAACAAGTACTTTTTATCATCCCTCCAATATCCCGTTACGATCGTATAGTGTCGAGTTGACCCAGATAATTCGACGGCAGTCCACTCGGGAGTTTTCAGCACAAATGGAGTTATAAGAGTTGAATAGAACTCTAATGATCTGTCGAGTATTTCACGAAAGAGCTCAGTTTTCAGTCTGATAGAGTTTTTTTAAGGATATATATTGAATCGTAAGAAATTTTACCTTAAAATGAAACCTAAAATAGTACGTCGACTGAGTTACATAATCACATCATTTATAAGTTTGGAAATACTGATTTGTTACAATTGTAGCCGCCAACAAGTGAGTAATTTAATTCTCCTGCTGTCATTGATTTGCTTTCTCCAAGTCTTAAAGTACGCATTAATCTTTAGCGCCTCTCTTCACTACATTATGTAGGGAAAGAAGGTAGATAATAAAGTGTGTGACGAAACTAGCTATTACCCCTTTTTGGGCTTTAGTCAAACCGCACCAGGGATGCCAAAAGTTTTTACTCTGACTGACTGTAAAGATTAACCATTAGGTGTTGGATCATTTAAGCCTTGTATTGGGTAAGGGGTGCCTTGATTTTCATTTATACAAATAAAACACTGAAATAGAATAATTATCAATTTAATTAATAGATGAAAGTAATTCGGTATGGTTATCAATCAAATCCTATCTAAAAATTCCTAATTGGACGTCCAGTCGAACTACAAATTTTATACTAATCTAAAGTAAATGAGTATCTTGATTTATAAAAGGTAGGGAAATCTGATAATTATAATAATATCATTTATGGTTAAATGTTAAGTGAACGAAAACACAAATTAACTAATTGAATGCACGAGAGCACAACATAATTATTTCGTCAACTTCAATCAGTTCACTGTAATCACAAAATATTTATTGATCCTTGAAAGTTTTTTTATTTATTGAGAGTTAACAATTTGAGCACTTTTGTGCGGAAGTCTGTAAACAATATGTGCAAGAAAAGTATTTATTTATGCTCAGTTTCTATAAACAAATGTACAAGTGCTAATTTCACGAGTGTGAAAACCAAATTTCTGCATTAACCGTTAGAAAACACTTCAATTTATAGTGCATTTCAAGCGAATCACTAATCGGTGTTTATTGTTCGACTGTTAGAGAAATTGTAACGGTCTTACTTGCTTAATCCGGTTCATGCAGATAAATCCACAAGGCGATTATTTATCCATTTATCACCACTATTCACACTGGCAGCTAGGGAATTTTTCACTGAGATGAAAAAGAAAACACAACGATATACAGGCGCGTTGGAGCCCGGCGAGAGTGAGAGAGAGAACCAAAAACAGACGTAAGAGAGAATTTTGCTCGTCCGGGGTGACTTGCAACAATTAAGGATTAATTACATGAATTGTAATCAATAATATAGACCATGTCAGGCCTTGAGACACAGAGAGCAGTATTTTTACTATAAATCGCGCGTACTAACGGGGGTTTTTGGGGGTTTTGCTCCTGGAAAGCATTCAGAGGGCGCGAGGGTGCGAACTCTTCGCTTATTCTAATAGTACTGAAGAATGTGCGTTGACTTGACTCTGCCAGGGAAGCAGGTCGCAAAAATCTAGAAAACAATGTGGTGGCTAACCAATCACAGCAGCGAGAAAGGTCCACTGCCTTATAAGGTAATGAAGAAACCTGTAATTTTACCGGTTCAAAGGGTTGTTGTTGCCGGTTTTACAGGATAAATAGTCCAGCAATACCATCTATTTCAAGAATATTATTTTTATGGTAAATAATAGAGATCGAGATATATTAAATTAGGAATAATGAAGTTTAAATTTGTTGTGGGTTATTTCCGCAACAACGTGAAAGTCAGCATTTAGATACAGTAACTACTTTTCAACCACAATGGCTAAAATTCTTTTTGAAACATTCTGTTATCAATATCTTTCCTAACCCGACGATCTTTCCCCAGTGCAAACTAACATTTCCGGAAATACTTTCTCCAAAAAATACAATTTATGTTTATTGCCAGTTCCCAAAAGGTAAAGTAAGTTTCTAGAGCCCTCCGGCTTTTATCGAATTGGCTCAATATTCAAATAGCGATCTGCACGCGCACACGATATATGGTTCCGCTAAAAATTCTACTGTATTGAAGAAGCTGCGTTTGGGCCTTTGCCCTCTTTCACGAAGAACCTGTTAGACTTTTTATATTTATTTTATTTCTTATACATAATTCTTCAGAAAAACTCAAAAAACTATTCAAAATATTCTACTTTACCTTAAAAGAATCAAATTACATTATAATTCAGAAGAAATTTCAAATAGATAACTAAGTATAAAGAAACCGGCCCCTAATCAGTCCATTAATATGTAATCTAATATAGCTCTTGAACTAATTTTTCTGATTGGAATATACTAGTAGCAAACAAAACTTGAATCTTTAAAACAAGTTAAATATGTAGTGGACGAATTTACCAGAGGTTGTTGAGTGAAATGGAAATATTTAAGGTTATCTCTCACCTGTTGAAAAGGATTTATTTGCCCGAAAATCCTCTGGACATTGACTGCAGTAAGGGTTTAGAGTTTAGAGCAACTTTCTGCTAGAGGATAAAAAGGAATCTCTTAGGATTACGTATGTGAATAATTTAGGAGGCAATTAACTTTTCTACGATGCGCAAAAATCGATGACCCATTGATTTGATATTGACATCTCTTTAATATAACATTTATTTTTATGCAATTTTATCTTTTTGTTTGAAAATGTTGTAGTTTCACTGGTCAATATTTAGTTGATTTGCAATTATTGTTGTATAGCAGTCACTTTCAATCCTGATTTCCCGGCCTATTAACCAGTGCCTTTTGTTTATTTCTGCCATATCCAAGAACCACATCATCAACTCCGCAAGCTCTAAGCTCAATACAAATTATTTATTTAATTATTTATTTATTTATTGACGAGAAATCCCATAATGGCATACAGAACATCTATATACAATAATTTGACGTTTAGACAAGAATTAAAATAGAAAAACAAAAAACTACCCGACAAGATGGCGAACATTACTTACAATAAAATTATTTCTTATTACTATATATCTACTCACTACTAAGTAATTTATTGAACAAAATAAACAAAGGACGAGTTAGTATAAAGCTACACCTGCTGAGCATCAGAAGGGGGATGCCATCTGGGCCAGGTCCACGAAAGATCCGTAGCTTATACAGTTCCTCGTGAATAACTGAGATGGAGAATTCAGTCATGAATGTGAATGTTACTATCAGAAATGCTGTGGCCAATAACACATGCTTTGTCTGAGTATACAGAATGAAAGTATGCACCGAAAAGAGTAGCTAGTTTAGGTCCAGTTTTGGCGCATTTATCATCATAAAACATGTAAGAAGGGAGTCCATAAGTCTGTTGTCTGTAACCCTTTTTGTTAATAAATTAACGAGAGGCCCATAATATGCTCGGTTTGCTCAGCGAATCAATATTAGGGGTTGGTTGATAGTGTAATAAGTACAGAATAGCAAGGGCACCACTGAATTTAAAAAAAAAAAAAAATTAAATAAGATAAAATATTGAGATGTGAAAACTCAGAAACACACTTAGAAAATAATCAGCAAACGGTAATTGGTAATTCTGAAAAGGAAATGAATAAGGAATATTCCTCAACCAAATCTTGACATATGTAGCTAAACTAATAAAATAATTAAGTTTAAAATTAAATTAGCGTATATTTTAGTGAGGTCAAAAAAATCACGAATTAAAAAATGACAATTGCTGGTAAAACACTTTGAATAAAATCAATAAATAGAGGTAGTGTCAAGAAAGCGACAATGAAATTTCAATTTCCAAAGGATGTCAATAAAAATTCAATCTATTATGGTATAGTCTTTTTAAAGTCAGTTGAAACAAGGTAAAAATAAATTGCAACTGGTGGCTGACAAGTAGCAGTGCATTTCTTATGGAAATATCCAATCACCAGTCAGCCACCAATTGTTATTTACCTTCACCTTGTTTCAACTGACTTTAAAAAGACTATACCTAATTGATTATAAAGGTTGATTTCATAAGGAAGGTAATAAAGGTTACAAGTAAAACTCTATACAAGCCTCTATTCCAACAAAAGGTGGATTACTGTAGCCTTCCAGCCATCCATTTTCTGTCACTAGACGAGGGAAGTTGCAGATTCTAGCCTGGAATCTAGGTAGATGGAGGCTAGAAGTTCTCAGTTGTCGTGAACTGGGAGCTACAGGAATCAATAAGTGAGGGACTAGATTCCTCTAGGAATCTCTTCAGTTTTGAGAGAAACGGCTCCTCGGAAAAAAAATCTGCCCGGTAAAAACAGCTCCCCGGTAAAAACAGCTCCCCGGTAAAAACAGCTCCCCGGTAAACACAGCTCCCCGCTAAAACCCTAAGTACTAGAGACATTCCATGAAAAACCATTACATTAAAAATAAAATTAAAAAGGACTGACCACGAGGGAGTTCGAAATTCAAACTCAAATATAACGGTAGTCACGAGACTTTTTATTTAAATTTTTTCGGTAATCAATGGATTATTGCCTTACGCAACTTTACTTCGTTAAAATAATGACTGACAGCCGATGAGGTACTTTTTTCACGAGAATGGTATTCACACTTGAGGAAGATGACTGCCCTCAGCCCAGCCACAGTCGACCGTTCAGGGCAACGGCAAGATTCAAAACGAAAATCGTGCCCTCCAGTATTGTTAAATTGCTATTGTTATTGGCGACAGATATCTTTTTTTTTTTTGCAATGCTAGTCACCAGACTGTCAACATTAAAGGAACAAATACTAAAAACTAGCATTTCACATGCTACATGTCTAGCATTGACAAAGTTCCAAAA